AGGAGAGCTCCAAGTCTGGAGTGCTAGGTTGACCTTGGAGCAAGATTCTGAGGACAGGACTCGGTTGCCAGACTATCCTTTGGCCATCTGGATTCACCGTAGCAGCCACAGGACTGTGCTGTCAAGGATACTCGATAGCAGTGATTTATCTCTTAAGTGATTGACAGCCTGTGCCTATTCATACTAAGACGGTGAGCTTTTGTGGTTTTCTGATCAAAGAGTAGAACTGGTACCCAGGAGCCACTTTTGCGTTCAAGTCTGCCTTGCCGGACCTGTGTGAATGAGCCTCTCCCTTGCAGATGGCTCATTCAGGTAATTTCAGGTAGCTCAGCATCTCATTTCCATGCAGTTCACAGAGAGCTGTCCTGCAGCAATTTTATTTCTCAGCAAACAGAAAGAAGGGAGGGGGAAGCAAAACACACTATAAAGAACAAAGAAAAAAAAGAGATCATTCATTCTGAACTAGCTTGAAGTCTTTTTCTTTCACCCCAAATCTTTTCTCAGTATCTCCTGATAAAGTAAAAAACAAATCCCAAAGTATAATAGCTGCTTGTTTTCCAATACCAATATTTTGCTCCAGTTTGTGAAATCGGAAGGAAAATGAAGGCTCTGTTACTGGAGAATGAAAGACTTAGATGAATAGCAATGTACACATCCTAAAACCAACAGGGAAGCACCAACAGGTGATCTGACTCTGAGCTGAGACTGACTGCTGTCAGGGTAACAGAGATGTCCAGGAAATCTAGCCAAGCATTCTGTGCCCAACATGGTAAATCTCCAGCCATAGGTAAGGATGTACAAGAATGCCATTTCAATTTGTTTTCATTCAGATTTGCCCAACCTGAATGCAATCTGGGGTTAGATTACATACATGTTCAACCTCACAGTATGAATTAAGGACCACAAAAAACAAACAAAAAACCTCAGCAGCATTTGAAATGTGCATGCTGTGCGCTTTTGAATGCACACAAATAAATTTCAAGAAATGACAGGAAAAGGTGCACATTTCAAAGATGGGTGGCATCAATGTATGTAAGAAAATATGTGTGATGGTTGTGTATTTAATTCTATACTGCCCAATAGCCAAAGCTCTCTGGGGAGTTTACAACAATTCATTAAAATATAATCTAAAATATTCATGGAAAAAAAGAAGAAAACTGGAGTTCATGATTCATTGCAGACCTAAGTCAGTATAAGCTTCAAGTCAGAATATGGAGAACTTCAAATAATTGGAGTATCCTGATTCACACATTCCTAATTCAGTGTACTAAGAAATCTATATTATCCTGTATCATATGAATCTGTGTGTGAGGTTCTGGTCAGGGAAGGCTCCTCAGGTTCTTCCTGCTTGCAGGGGGAGTCCAGGGCCCATTCCTTGGAGGTAGATGAGCCATGACTTCTTAAGATTCATGGACGGGACATGGTGGAGGGCCCTGTTTGAGTGGGAGGTGGGGCTAGGCCTGACTTCTCAGAAGACCTCCTCACCCCTGCTCAGGCCCTTCTCAGGAGCACTTCCCAGCTGCTGGAGAAGCCACTCTCTGAGGATCCTTGGTCGTGGGCTGTGACAGGTAGCACTGGAATCTGCATATACATGTGGCCATGAGGAGGCAGGAATGGCCTGGCAACTCCCTCTGTACTCTGAACCAGGGTAAGAATGCAGGACTGGGACTTAGGAGATCCAGGTTCTGCTCTCCACTCAACCATGGAGTTCACTCAGGCTAGTCACAGATGCTCAGAATAACCAACCTTGCAGGGTTGTTGTTGTGAGAATAACATTGAGAGGTGGAGGAGGAGGAGGAAAAATATGTAAGCTGCCTTGAAAGGAAAAAATGTGGGTATGAATATAATAAATACATAAATGATAAATAAACTAGTAGGACATAGGGCAGGTCTTTCCCAACCTGGTGCCCTCTAGATGTTTAAACTACAACTGTCATAACCAATGGCTGTGGATAATAGAACTTGTGTCCCAAAATACCTGGATATCGCCAAGTGTTTTGAGATGCATGGGGTTGGTGGGTGACCTCTGTTCTTAGTGTTACCCACATGTCAGTTTTCTGATTTTAATTTTTCATCTCTGAACTTAAAAACACATCACATCTCTTTCCCTGCCTTAGATACCAAGATCGGATGCTAGCAGGGAGCTAGAAGAAGACAGTGTTGTCCTCACTGGAATCCTACAAGAGACCATTTGGCTTTCTTAGGGTTCTACGACTCTTGAACCCTTTTTAGGCATCAGCACCTATGGATACTGAATGCACAAACGGACTCTGAAGAAAGCTCCTGGATAGTCCTCTTTTCCAGACACCGAAGTGTGGGCCAAACCCAAGTCACAGAGCAAGAGAAGTCTATGTGCATACAGGTGGACAAGGCTAAGACTCCCCACATGGAAACACAGACTTTGGATGCTTAGCCTGGCCTGACCATTGTGCTGAGAAAGCTGTCCGGTGAGTCACACTTCTCTGAAGCACTTCTCTCTTGAATGTGGCTAATAGAGCAGTTTTCAGAAGGAGGAGGGCTGGAACTAGTGTGGATGTGATGGCCTTGGCTCTGAGGCTGCCGAAGTGTATTGACAGGTGTGAGCAGGGGGCTGGCTAGGTGGTGAAAATATAGCTTTACACCAACTTGAGCTAAAGGCCATTGAGTCTTTAATAAAGCATTTAACTGCTTGCCAGAGTGAAGGAAGGGCAGAGGGATTATTATCAGTCTTATAAAATGAGTTTGATCCCACTTTAATAGGTTTTTAAACTAGAGCAGCTGTGCAGGGAAGGGCTGGAGAGAGAAGAAACAGACTTCCCTCGGTGGCAGGCAACCAATTTCCCTGTGATCAGAATGGGAGTAAATGCCACTCACAATACAGAGAACATTGAATACCAAGCTCTCGTATTAGATTGGATGCATGTCCATATTATGTAAATTGTAATCACTCATTACTGCCTGTTTCACAAGCCAACTGACTCACTCAAAGAGCTGTATGAATTCATGATCAGCTGTAATTCACCTCCAGTATGGCATGAGATAAAAACTGAAAACTGTCTGCAGAATGAAAAACAGGAAGTGATGAAAATAGGTTGCGGTGTGAAGAGCAGAAGAGCATTGTGCTTCGAGTTGCTAGGGGAGTAGAAGTAGATAGAGGGAAATCTACTCATTTTTAATGGGTAAAATCATGGCAATAATTTTACCTCCTACGATTGAATGTAGGACAGAATACAATTTACAGTCAGAAAAACACACGTTTCTACTTGTGATGCATGCTGCAAAACAAAAGCAAAGCATCCTTCAAGACATGCATGTTTGAAAAAAAAAACGTAAAGGAAAGTGTGTTTGTGCATTGGTAAGTGTGCACAAACACACTGTAGCCGATGCGCACATGCCTACAAAACTGTACAGTTGAAAGATACACACGAAACATACATACGGATTTCTGGGTGGTGGGTACAGAACCAGAATGGAGAAAATTGGAAGTGGGGAACCACAAACCACAGTGAGATCATGTTTGACAAATCCATCCATCCCTGGACCAGAGTGCTTTTAATTTTATTCAGTAAAAGATTATTCATTTTATTTTATCTGCAGCTCAACATAGTTTTGACAGACAGAAGAACTAAATTTCTAAACCAGACCGGGAGAGTAATTTAGTCTAACATTTTTGGGCTAGAAATTCTAGAAACTAAAGGCCCAGGTGGCCTTTTCCTCTCTCTTGCCAGTCTGGTTTTGGGCCAACCAGGGAGATGAGGGTTGCAGAGGCGAACAACTGGCTCAGGGCATGGTGCTCGAAGGAACACTTGGTTTCCTCAATCACAGCATCCAGTTCCTCCCCAATGGACTTCTGGCTAAGGATGGGGTGCACCTCATGAGGATGGGGAGAAGGTCCTTCATCTGAAAGGTGAGTTTCATCTGGAAGGCTTTAAACTGAGCCAGGAGGGGGAGGGTTAACCCCCCCCCCGCAAAAAAAAACCTGCCCTGATTGGACAGGAGAGAGGATCAGGGTTTCGGGGCCAGAGCATTGGTGGTAATGTAGTGGCTTCTACAAAGAGGGTTCCAGTACTAGGGAAGATGGAGGGTGGGGTCCCAGAAGGAATGGGGATATGGGAAGGAGCTGAGATTCATGTATACTAAAGCTTGGAGCATGGGAAATAAGCAGGAAGAGCTTGAGGTTCTCCTGGGAATAGGAGATTATGACCTGGTGGGGATCACAGAAACTTGGTGGGATGAAAGGCAGGACTGGAATGTAGGCATGTCATGAGCAGAGCTGTCTGGAGCCCGGGATCAGACTAGATGGCCCTGGAGACCCCTTATGACTTGCTTTGTTTCTATAACTTGCACTTCAACATTAAACATGGTTTGAACATAGGTTGCTATTGAAAAATATGTTTTTATTGAGACTATTCAGACAATATTATCCAAAGATGAGAAGCCATGTTGAAACCCACACTTCACATTCCAGCAACATGGTCCTGGTTCTCTCCATTGTCTGTTTATAATTAACAAGCCACAATTTACTAGCGCAGACGGGTTCAGACAACCTGTTCCAAACAACCGTTGTGGGTTCAAAAACAATCAATGCATGCCTGAGTGTGGGTTAATCTCTTGTCTGACCACTGTCAGTCTCCCCACTCTCTGCCCACAAGGCCTCCATTAACTTACAAGCATAAAAACAGCAGCCTATCTTTGTTATCCAAAATTTGGCATGCAGAAGCATGCTGCCTCTACATCTAGAGGGCCAATTTATTTATTTATTTATTTATTAAAACATTTTTATGCCGCCCCATT